TGTGTCATTTTCCCTCACCCTCAGGTGGCCATTAAGTTCGTGGAAAGGGTAAAGGTGCGCGAGTTCAAAGAGGTGAGTTATCTGTAGATTGAGACCTTTAGACAGGTTGAGTAAGCTTTGGATTAAGAGGTGTAACTGCCTTGGCTGAGGAAAAGCTGTTCAAGAAAAATAAAGGAAGTTGCCGGCTTGTGGTTAGCTTGGCCAGGAAGCAGTCTGTTTTTCTCTCAACATGAAGATAGAACTTTGGGCGCGAAGAGATTGGGACAAGACAGGGTGTGTCGAACATGGTCATGACCCCGCCCCTAATATCCATACTAAAAAAGTCTTGAGTTCGGTGTCCTTTAAGCTCTTGAGACTGTGAAAGAGAACACCATATTTCACTAGCATTTTCGTCTGTTCTATTCTATTCTGGCCTATTCTAGTCTGTCGTGTTTCCTTCACTTATGAAGGCGGGAAAGCAAAACGGATTATGAAACTCGGAGGCTTCTGGTCGGCCTTTTTCTTCCTTCGACTTAAATGGACTTGTTCCGGGGCTCCTGCGTTTGTCTCCATCTCTACGTTCTGATGAGTAAATAACAACTCGTTTCCATTCTCCTTCCTTCACTCCTGTTACCTAGCCTCGTCGAGTGTCGCTCACCCTTTGTGTAGGGGGCGAGAATAATTGCGTGACGGGACCGAAAAAGGGATGCGAATATGTTCACCTACAATCAAAAGAAAATTTGTTGGAACATCACCTTGACAAATCCCCCACAATTTACTATCGTTTATGATCCTATAGATCATAGAAATGACGTCAACAATGTTAAAAATTTCGATGAAATATTCAGGGATAGCAAACCACCTTCAATCTTTATTTTATATCACTTATTGTCTCGTGTGGTTAAGTTATGAGAAAAGATTGTGGCCAAGGCAGTGAGCAGCTTGGTGCGATTGCGCAAGATAGGTAGGATCGCTAGATAGGTACGAGGGCCGAAATTTCCTTAAAACATTGCCACCTTGGATATCTCTCTCGAAACTCAAGAGCAATAGCTACGGAGATGTTGCACGTGGAAACTTAGTCTCACATTAAGTAACTAGCCTCTAACATACAGGGTCACGTGTTCCGACCTCGCCGGAATTTTACAGCAAAGTTAGAAATGAAAATTTTATCCGTGCTACAGTGAAGGACGTGCCGATACAGTTTTCTGAATATGATACCGAGCACGATACTGACGTTTTTCTTTAATATCAATATCGATATCGATACTGTGACGTCATTTGGTTAAATGGCGAGTCGCGTGATTTGATTGACGAATTATTCGTTATATTGCACTGTTAAAGTTATGCAGTGGTCAGTGCTCTCATAAAGGATGGGCCGATACCGCTGCCAAATATTCGATACCGGCGATACCAAGGTCAGATCGGAAAATTTCGATACATATCAAACTCACGGGGTACAAATAGTCTCTTACTGAATTTCGTGACCACGCCCACTTCATCGGCCCACTCAAATCGAGTGCGATTTTTGGATGTTATATCATCTGCCGACTCTCTGTATAAAAAGTTAACAATGTACCACCGACATATTGAACTATAATATGATGGCTTTCCATTTTGTATATTTTCGTACTACAAAGTAAAGTTTTTCCCTCGTCATTTTCACCTTTTCCCGAGCGGGTCCGTCAAAATTAAAAAGGCGTTCGTGGTCAAGACAAGACCGAGCAAGGAGTCTTGGGCGATTTCTCTCTTGCGCAAGCGCAAATTGAAAATGTACCGCCAAAATCAGAGAGGAACAAATTTCCTTTGTTTTGATATATAAATTGTCGAACAAGGAGCAGATTGAACCTCGTAAAATGGCTAGTCAAAACAGCCACACCTTCCTCCTTTTGCCCGTTTCCTGTTTTATAGGCGTGAAAGCAGTGGGAGAAGAATCGGGTACCTCGGAAAGTGCTTCGGGTATTAATTTACCATCGTTTACCTACCAGATAAACAAGTAAGATTTGTAAAGTTATTTTCTGAAAGAGTCGGAATAAACACATTTTTTTTCAGATTAGATTGCTGTTTTTACCCTAAACGTCGTCCAATAAATTTTTGTTGCAGCCTACTAATCTATAAAATTTCGAAGGAAAATATTCAGATGCTTCACCGTCCCCGAAGGATCTCCAGTCATCGAAACGTGTACTGTAGCCAATGTAGTGAATTTTCAGTCTCTTGTTGGGTTTGTCAACCTCCGTGACTTCAACATCATACAATTTTGTATCTTTTCTCTGTGAAATGACCTTTTTTACCAGGGGTGTATGCTGAGTATTCGTTGCAGAATCGCTTTGGTTCTCTTATCTCTCTCTTTGGCTTGTCCGCCATTTTGAAAATTTGCTCAGGAGGGCATCTGGGTTAGTGGCCGCGCCAGGCTGGAACCGACAAAAACAAATGTCCATCGCAGTGGGGAAACAGTTTGATATGTAGAGAAAAGTATCGTTGCTTTGTCTCACGCCAGCGACCAACCGCTGACAAGAGCAATGAGCACCTCAGTGTGCGTGTGTGCGCTGCAAGGGTGAACTCATTGACGACCATGAGTTTCGACCTAAGTACGTTCTTAATCCGCTTTTAAATTTTTGTCTGTGTTATTGATGCTTCTATAGACGCTTCGTTTATGAATTGCCATATCTCTGTGAAACAAAGGGGTGCTTAGCTCATCGATTCGAAGATGAAAGAATAATCATTTTTCATTTCATTGTTTCTTCTTTGCTGTAGATGGAAGGTATTCGAATTCCAGCGGAAGCGTATCTTCAGCACAAAGCAAGGCATCAATACGTGATCGAGATATACGAGGTGTTTTCTACAGAGGATTATTATGTGATCGTTATGGAAAGACCAGAGCAATGCCAAGATTTGTTCGATGTGTTACAAACGAAGGTAGTTCTTAATGAGAAAGAGGCCAGGAAATATTTCAGCCAGGTCGTCGAGGCCAACATCAGCTGCGAGGAGCATGGTGTCATTCACCGCGATCTCAAGCCAGAGAACATTTTGCTGGACTTGCTCAAAGACGAAATCAAGTTGATTGACTTTGGTTTGGCATCCGAGGTTCAAGAAGAACCTTTTGATACGTTCAGAGGTGAAAACAGGCGACTTGGAATTTTAATTTGTAGTGCTGATATATAGTTTACGAAAGTGGAGGGAGGGAGGGGGGGTAAGGGGGAAAATTGTACACTAGCTTGGGGCCCTTACCATTTACGCGCACCGTCCGGTTGGACATTTAAGAATAAATGTTAGCGAGAAAAACACACAACGTTTCGATGACTCCATGTCATCATTCTCAAGTGATGAGAGAATAAAAATAAATAGTTAATTTATACCGTACGAAGGTGACAAACGTAAAAAGGTAAAAATGTCTTTAAAAAATTTAAATAAATAATTGCGCGTGTTGAGTTCATAAATGTAAACTATTAAATAAATAGTTTCGCGCGTATGGAATCCGATTGTTTGTTCTCGCGAATATTTATTCTTAAATGTCTAACAAAATCTAATGTCATTCGTTGGAGAAGTCAGAAACAAATATATGGGTGAATTTGGTTTTAGAAAAGGACAGAAAGGGTCATAACTTACCATAGCCATCGAAAATACGAACAGATTACGACAACTGGAATTGTACGATAGCCGCTCTCACCAGAGAACTCTGCCGAATTTGTTTCAGGAACCACTGCATACAAGCCACCCGAAAGCATCACAGCAGGACGCTATGACGGTTGCCAGGGAACTGTCTGGCAATTAGGAATACTATTGGTGGAAATCTTATCTGAAGACATGGCTTTTGAGAAGCCAGAAGATGCTCTGAATTTCAAACCACGAATTCCAGAGTACGTTTCACCAGGTAACAAATGTTGTATGCGGTTACAAATGGACGTCTGGAAAATTATTTATTATTATTATTTTTTTTTTTGCCAAATTTTTTTGTAAAATCTTGTTCCTTTCTCAACAGAGGCCGCTGATTTGATCCGCATGCTGCTGAATCCAGCCCCCTCGAATCGACCAAGATTAAGAGAAGTTCTGCAGCATCCCTGGTTCTCATTGCAAGATTGATTATCCTCGGTTCAATACTAACAACTGCTTACATTTGATACATTAAAGTGACTCAAGGCCGACCCGAACCACCTTTCACGCATAAAGTCTGATGGAGAAGTAGAGGGTAGTGGTGGGAAGGAGTGTTGTCAGTAGCAGTCACTGACGTTTACAAAGCCTCAACGAAAGTCATCATCAGCGTCGAGTGAAGAGTTGCGTGTCAGTCGAGTATTATGGGTCTGTTTTGCGTACGCTGAATGGTTAGATTTGCCGCGATGTTATTGGTCTGAGAGACCAATGTCGCGTAAATAGGTTATGATTGTCATCAAGCTCCTCACTCGATTCGGATCGAGGTTGCCTTCCGCTGAACTTGTCGGAACGGAACCACTACCGAGTACAGTCCTTTTAACGCTCCCGTACCCACCGCCAAGAGCATACTACACGGTCAAATGTCGATGTTGTTTTAGGAAAGAGAGGACATCTATACCTGAGTTCACCAAGAACTGTTTGAAGTTATTACGAACTTTTGTACATAGTCTTAAAAAATTTTCTACAAGTTGACACATCAGTCAAAATAAAACACTGGTTTATTGAAACTACTATCGAGTGATGTAACTCCGCACAGCGCTCAATTTGTAGGGGGCATAGGAATACACAGGAAGCGAGCGGGTTGTATCGCTGGCGCAATAGGCCTTTTGAAGCTAGAGATCACGTGCTTAGATACCGCATAGCAACGCCATACTGGAGAGCAAGCACTCCAGTCATCTCAGACAGTATAGAGGTCACAGAGGTCTGCATTCAAACAAAGAATACAGCGGATAACACGTCACAAGGTATCTCAATTCGAGAAATCCAGTAAGAAGTAATAAACAGCTTCCCCGGAGTGTATCAGCAGCAAAATCACACCAAAATTCGTTTTTCGCTGATACACTCCAAGGAAGCTGTTGATTAAAACTTACAAGATTTCTCGAATTGGGATACCCTTTAACTTGTTATCCGCTGTATTCTTTGTTTGAATGTAAACCTCTGTGATCTCTATTTTGTCTGAGATCACTGGAGTGCTTGCTCTCCAGTATGGCGTTGCTATGCGGTAATGATTTAAGCACGTGATCTCTAACTGCAAAAGGCCTATTGCTGGGCGTGTAAATTACCAATTCAGTGGTGTTTTTAACGTAACACTTTAATTACTCTTGAATTAAAAAAAAAAGACATTTTTCACAATTTTTTTAAAACATTTCACGCACTATTTATCAGTTTGATTGATGTTTTTTGGGAGAAAGCGTCGGCTGATTCTTCATCCCATATCAATTTGACTTCGATTGAATTGCCGTGCACGTCGTGCTGAGTCTGTTTTTCTCTTCTTGATGAGCGAGACGAGTGATAGCTTTACGCCTAAAAGATATTGGGACGAGACCGGACCTGTTTCACGTATTTCTTCAAAGAATAAAAGAGCCAGACGTCTGCCTCTGTTTACCTCGTCTACGCCCTGTTTACCGTAATCTAACTACGTCAATGAACTTTAACCTTGGCATTGAAAACTGGAAAGAACATTATTCTAGCACATCATTTTTTTTTTTGTTTTTTTTTATTTTTACGGAGTTGTGGTTTGGTTGTTGTTTTTGAGTTTTCGTTCATGCCAACTTGTTATCCCTCAGTTTGAAATTTAAACGAAGCTTTTATTTAAGCCGAATGTAGGGGTTACTACTGACTTGGACTACAAAATAATACATGTTTTCTACATTGTTTAGACACTGGCCTCTCTTTTCGTTCTTGGAATTTTTACAGTTACTAAGATTTTCCGAGAGGTCATCGTGTGATTTTGACCAATCAGAGACTGTGTGGCAAGGTTCGTGGGGTTTCAGAAGGCGTAAGGAGTGTTCGCTGTCTTTTTCCTTCCCGAAGTGTTCACCTTGATCCGTTCAGAGGCTAATCGTGCGCTTGCTTTCCCTCTAGCTCATTAGATTGAAAAAAAAAAAAAAACAAACAAACAAACAAAAAAAAAAACAAAACAAATCTGCAGGTTACACAGAATCGCCTTGTTCATCTCTTTAAGAAACATTTTCGGTTCTAGTAATGGGAGCTTGCGCAAGGACAGAGACAAGGAGAAACTTTGCTGTAAGATACATAATCAAGGGCACTGTGTATCTGGAGTTGGTAACAATGCTCCTGAGGGACGGGGAGAGAAATGCAGCCTTCAAGAGCTTCACCAGAACACACAATCAGGATTCAGAAAATTCGAGATTGAGGTGCCATGGCTAACTATTGACGAGGATATCGCCCTTCAAATGTGGGACGTTTACAAGGCTCTCTACACGTTTTAGCTAAGTTTAAAAACAAAGTGGGACAGAAAGAACAGTTTTTCAAAGAATTGTTTTCATTTGTTTTGTTGATGAAATACTTACAACTAAGGAACTGTCCGTTTCTTTAATCTTTTGCGGTTTTAGTTAGTGCATAAAGCTTGTTCTGTACTATTATTTCACTTTATTATTTGACGACGATGTCCAACAGACATCAAATTATCTCTTCCACTGTTACCTTTAACCCTAAAAGGTAGAGTTCGGTCGATGTTTTATGCTGATACTTCAACTAACTTCAATGACAAAACAACAAATGAACTAAATGACAAACTGAAATAGCTGTTTATCGAGATGATAATTTAAGTTCCGCTCAAGCAATAACAAAATAACAATGGTTCCTTTTCATTAATCGTTCAATATAGCAACTATGCCCACCAATTTGAGATTACCATCCATCGTTTAAAGAATTGGGACGTCTACGTTACTTTGGTCCTTGTCTGAGTTTTCTAGTCAAGTTTAAAAAGCACAATCTTGACGGGGAGGTGTTTATTAAAGAAAAATTCCTGAGATAATTGGCCTTTCCGTGAGGACAAAAACATGAAAAACAAAAATATATAGTAACAAAAGTTTCAATTTGCAAACTTGGCTAAGAAAGTTATATTTCATTAATATAACACTTTCAACTCAGTTTTTTAAAAATTTTGTTGATTTGAAAATGGATTTTTGTAATTTTTCACCCAGGCTTTGACCTTATAATTTACTTGTTGAAGATTTCTTTCAGTCTTTCCAGTCGCTGTTCATGCGCACTGTTATCTCGGACCGTCTGACTACGCGCCTTCAGTGACAAAAGGTCAGCATACTCCATTTGGGAAAACTTGGCGCCTTGCTCCACAATGGACGTTAAGATTTCCTGCACAAAAAACCAAAGAAAGGGATTTATTTCTTCCTTGCTCTTTGTCACTTAAGCCATGTAAGGATACCCAACTTAATTGTTTACTTAAATAGGGTAAGTTTTAAAGAAATTGCTATGCTACGGGCGGGTATTGAAAGACATATATCTTATTAAACGTTAGTATGGCTGAGCATTTTGACGAGTTGTGCGGTATTCTGACGAGCCCATAAGGCGAGTCAAAATACACACAACGAGTAAAAATACTCAGCGATATTACACAACAAACTGTTTAATAAGAGATTTCTAATCTAACACGCCAAATTTTCATTTCAATGCGGGCGAATTTCGCGGATATTTATTTACGGGAAGTGCGTGTCACAAGTATGCGAAGTGGAACGGAATTGGCGTGGAAATTTCATTGTGATCTAACTGCTTTTCTTCGTTCGATTTCTCTAATAAACTTGGATCCACGGCCAGCCATTCCGACTCTTCGTCGTCAGAAAAATATTTAAATTGTCCGCCATTTTTTTTTCGTAACTTCAATCCATAGTTAGCAGACTCTACTAACTATGTTCAATCCAATTCGTCACTTGCGCGATGCGAGAAAACCTGTCTCACTGGTTCTCTGGAGCACAAATACAACGTGATATTTGTACTTGTTTTGGGCGTTATTTATACTCTACAGCGCACAGTTGGATAATAAAATTTGGTATTGTCAACTAGGTTAATAATCTGAAGTGACCACCTTGGAAAGGCCTTTCGCTCTGACGAAGGGCTATCGCTCAAAACGTCAGCTTTGAAAACTCTCTACGGTGGCAAATTTATATTATAAATCGGTTGATAAAAACCAAATTATTTTTAATTGTGTAACTGTCTGCTTAATCAAAGTATCTTGCTGTACAATGAATGGCAAAAGACGTTGGTAAATCAAACAACAACAAACATATGAAACATATGTATGAACTGCGGTTATGAAACGTATATGTGCACGATCCTTCGCAGTAAAGCACTATTTGAGCAATAGTGAAAATCAGACCTGAAAAAAATTTCAGGCCTGTACGGGATTCGAACCACTGACCTCTGCGATACTAGTGCAGCGCTCTACCAATTGAGCTAACAAGCCAACTGGGAGCAGGCCATCAAATTAATTCGACATAAACCCGTAGATGATAAATCAAACAACAACAAACATATGAAACATATGTATGAACTGCGGTTATGAAACGTATATGTGCACGATCCTTCGCAGTAAAGCACTATTTGAGCAATAGTGAAAATCAGACCTGAAAAAAATTTCAGGCCTGTACGGGATTCGAACCACTGACCTCTGCGATACTAGTGCAGCGCTCTACCAATTGAGCTAACAAGCCAACTGGGAGCAGGCCATCAAATTAATTCGACATAAACCCGTAGATGATAAATCAAACAACAACAAACATATGAAACATATGTATGAACTGCGGTTATGAAACGTATATGTGCACGATCCTTCGCAGTAANAATTTTTTTCAGGTCTGATTTTCACTATTGCTTAAATAGTGCTTTACTGCGAAGGATCGTGCACATATACGTTTCATAACCGCAGTTCATACATATGTTTCATATGTTTGTTGTTGTTTGATTTATCATCTACGGGTTTATGTCGAATTAATTTGATGGCCTGCTCCCAGTTGGCTTGTTAGCTCAAATGGTAGAGCGCTGCACTAGTATCGCAGAGATCAGTGGTTCGAATCCCGTACAGGCCTGAAATTTTTTTTTTCATGTCTGATTTTCACTATTGCTCAAATAGTGCTTTACTGCGAAGGATCGTGCACAGATACGTTGGTAAATGTTCCACAACCCTCCGCTCAAAACAATAATCAGAAATCTTGTAATTCATCTCTAATAACTTACCTACGGGCATTTGTTACGATGATTTCGGCCCATTTTAATAAAAGCGGTAATGCAATTTCTCACAAAATGACGAGGAAAAGGAAGCATTTTTAACGCCCGCGTGTAGCAAAGGTTATTTCATGCACGCTACAGTGGACTCAAACAAGAAACATAAACAAAAGAAAAACTTATGCACCCATTTTTGCGAAGAGGACCTAGATTGATTGAAGATATGGACTAAGTATTTCGTTGTATTTGCCATATGATTGCTGACTCAATGCGAGAGAGATGTTAGTTGATAAAGAAGAAGTATACCTATTCGAACCGTAAATCTTTGAGGTAACCGCATATAAACGAGGAGTCAAAACGGAGTACCCGCGTATAAGCTGTACCCCTAAATTTGATTCCATTTGTCCAAACAAAAGGCAGCGGCCTATCTGTGGGTAAACACGGTACTTGGAAGTTCCTTTTCCCCCTTAAACATTGCTGTAAGAAGTTGGTGACCTTTTTGTTAACACCAGAGTGAGAGGGAGGAAGACTTTTGCCACTCAATGAAGTTCTTATCGCCGTATTAAGCTCTACTACGTTGAATGCGTTTCAATAAGCTGAGACGCAAAATATTTTAAGACTGTATAGCTTTCCTTGATGAAATAAAATCGATAGTGATACTTGTCGCCGGATAAATATTTCAGATCACGAAAAAGCTCTCCTTAAGTTTCCACTTCCGCATAATGGGAATCTTTTAGTTGTAATAGTAAGAACAAAATTGAGACTCTAGTTGGTGTCCGCGTGACGTGGGTACATTTTCACTAATGCCGATAAAAGTGGGAGCTGAATAGAGCAGTGGCCTGGTACTTACATCCGAGTTGGAGTATAACAGTTCATAATACTGTCTGGCTCGATCTAGGTCCCCCTCCCGAGACATGGTGATGTTCGTCAAGTTTTGTTGAATAGCGAAGATATTACGGCACCTGGAAAATGAAATTACCCAGTGAGATCATGCAATAAATTAGTGCGAAATAACGACATGGAAGAGTATCAAGGCTGGACTTTGCAAAGAGTTCTGGGATCGTCAGGGATCAAGCTTTGAAGTTTGCTTTAGGGAAATATATGGCAAAAGGCTGTTTCGAAGTCTCAAAAAAAAAAAATGGCGAGAGAAACGCTTTTAAAGCGCTGTTTTTTTTTGTTTTTTTTTTTTCCAGAAATGGTTATAGACAATGTTAATACGAGGGAAGCACAATTTTCTTTTTGAATATTAAAAAAAAAAGAAAATGTGATAAAATCGACCGATAACCTACTCTCCTTGTGAAAGATTTAGTGTAAAATTGACATCGTGTAGTGGTCTCGAAATACTACAAAATTACCCTCTTTAGTTTCTTTGGACATCGAAACAACCTTTTGCCATATATTTACCTCAAGCAAATTGTAATGTTTGACCCCTGGCGATCCCAGAAATCTTTGCGCAAACACGGCTGACGATCCGTCTATTGACAACTCCTTCATTGAAACTACCCTAATCAGAGGAAAACGGTAAACTTACATTTTCTTAATCCCGTTCTGGTTAATTCTCTTTATATCCGAAACGTTCGAGACGAGAATAGAAGATACGAGGAAACCCACTCCCTCAAACAGGTATCTGAAAACAAAGATAACAAATACGTATGATGCACGATCCTCGCAGTAGAGAGCGCTATTTATGCAATAGCGAAAATCAGACCAGAAAAAAAGATAACAAATGTTGGGTGACACGTGAACACAAACAAAGACCGAACAGAGGAAGGATGAGTCAACTCTAATCAACAAAACACAGAAGAAAAATCAATGGACAGGTTATTTTCCATTTATGAAACTATGTAAGTGAAGTAAATTACCTAAACTTGTAGTTTCCCATGCAAGCCGTTGCAATCTCTTCAAACGATGACAAACTCTTGTTCAAATTATTCACGTTCACATCCGGGTCCATGGCGTTTGAATTGCACATGTAATTAGACTGGAAAAAGCAAGAGATCAGTTCTATTTGAGAGTACAACTAGTCAATTTGCCAGCTAATTAAAATTTCACAAAACTGAGAACTACGGCAAACGTTTCATTTAGAAAATGCTACAACCACTCGATCTCCCAAAAACAAGACACTGATATGTGTGTCTAAAATTCGCTTCACGTTGCCTTAGGGATCAGGGGAGGGGTGGAGGATGATTTTGGTTGTGTCACGATAAAATATACCTCATCCCCACTCCCCCCATTGCTCTTTAATGTTGTTATGGTTCCCCTCACATTGGCAGTTAATCAGCGGTCAATTTTCTGTCTGTAGTCCCTCCTTTATGCTCTGTTGGCGGTGACTGATCCCCCCTCCGTCCCCCCCTTGAAAACCATGTGATCTCCCCAAAATCCTCCAACCCCTCCCCCGGCGATAAAAAAATCACTGGTCCTTGACACGTCATACAAGCTCTGACGGAAGGCCGAGTGCAAGAAAAGAATTTCAAGTGCAGAGTGGCAAGTTTTGCTGATGAACACCATAAATGAAACCTGCGTCACGCCACATCAACAGTTTCTGGTATTTACAGAAAAGCACATCAGAGAGAGTGGTGTTCTATCGTTCCATGACATTATTGCTGCTTGATATCAAAGCTGGAGTGATCACCAAGTGTCACTTGTTGCAAATGCAGCTAGCTTCAATCCAGGATCAAAAACTGTCCTCGCTTCTCTATATTTCCTTGTAGAAACTGATTGTAGGGCTACTATTTTATAGTGTTTCCTTTCACACAAAACGGGCTTAACTGACCTCTTGCACAGCCCGCATCAGGAAATAAAAGCAATGGCATCTAATCTCCAGATGAAGCACTAGCAAACAAGAATCCGAGATGTTTTGAAAATCTTCTGCCAGCGTTGTAAGTGATCTGTAGGTTGATAAAAGGCGATTAAGTTTTAACCGACTTTCCACAAACCTTCTCTGAAAGTTGAATACGAAACACAAAACTTCACCCTTTTGGCTTCCACTTGTGCGTCAAATGCAAGGGAAAAACATTTTTTTCAAACCATTTTTTTCCGGTCTTACATGCTTACTTGTACTTTTACTCCCTTGTAATATGACAATTACCTGGTTTTCATTTACTAGGATAGACATACTTACTGGAGGATTTCCTGGGAGACAGGCGGGATTTCTTGCTGTAAAATAAAGGATACAAAAAGCCACCTTCAGACAAAGCCCAGAAATATCTTTGAGTATAACACGATGCAACTCAAAAAGTTGGAGAACGGCTATGACGGCTATAAGGACGAATTTGTTCATCAGTTGCAATTTTTCATTAGGCAGAGGACATTTCATTTCTTGACTTTGATAGTGACTTTAGTTATCGCTAACTACAGGCACCTTACACTTAAGTTATTCCCAACATTAGCACAACAAACGAATCGAACGGAACAGCCTAGCATTGCTGACGAATCGAAACTAACCAATCACCTCTAACTTGTGTAACTTTAAGATTTTCAGCCAATAACATTATGGTAAAGCTGAACAATCAAGTAACACGAAGATGACTTACACCACCCTAGTGACGGACAATTCTTCACCTCTTCACATATTTGCAGAATTTATCCGCAATTCGCAATCTTTTTAAATATACTTTATACCAATCAGTAACGCATTAATTCTGACCCAAATCCTGTAGTTGGGTGATCGAATTGCGTTTCTTCTAACTTAGAATGGTCATTTGCGTTGTGCAATTTTGATCTGATACCGAAAACGTGATGTAAAAGCACGCGCTTGATATCAGGCGAAATTGTACGTCACTTGAGTCCGGTGCCATTACTAATACCTTAAAAAAAATACTAAACTGAGTAGTTACTTTTGAAACGATCTCGTTCAATTGAGTTCTATTCATTTTAAAGCTCTGTTTTACAGTGATAAAAAAATTAAACGGTAATTATATTCAAATACGAGGTATACGATTTCATAAGCTCCTTTTAAGTAAAATCTTCCAAGGATACGACAAGGAACTAGTTTACCCTTTACACTCTGTTGAATATTCATGCATCGACCAATGAAGGCATATGTGTGGGTAATTTAGCTTTAAGATCTTTTAGTAGGAAGCATTTAATAAGTTATTACAGATTATATTTAATGTCGATTGACAAGTAACGCTCGGACAACTCACCCAATTTCTACCATAAACGTAGGCAAATCCATACCCGTCATGCACTTCTCTCTGTTAAGTTTAAGTTCGCGTTCTGTCAGCTTTAACTCAATGCCCACCTCTTAAAAACCCTTTAACAACGAAAAGCTTTAGCCTTCAGTCTCTCAACTTAAATGAAACTGAAACCTAAAATACTCGATTACGATGACATGGTAGTAAAGTTGGGTTAAAATCAAGTACTATTCCTAGATTTTGAACGGAATTTATTTTGAACAAAATGACACTCATCAACATAATGGGCTATCAGTGGAATTAATTGAATAGTTCAAACATCATCACCATTTAAAAATGTGGTCCGTCACCCATTATTTTAGAAATCTCAATTACGTGTTATAGGATTATGAACTTTCAAATGACAAACAAAAACCCGATCAAAATTATCCTTTCGAGCCATTTTTACCCATATTTACTTATAATATCGATTACTTTGCTTTATCGTTTAAAAGTGGTGAGTATTTTAAGGTTCTTTTTTATGCCCGCAGGCAACAAAATCCGGATAATGCTATCCCACAGTTCGTTAGCCACTCCTCAAATAACCGAATCCAGTGTTATTTTGGAAAGCCAAAAGTGCTTACCGCCTCCCGGTTAGCTCAATTGGTCAGAGCGCCGGATTGGTTTGCGGGAGGTCGAGGGTTCGAGCCCCAGCCGGACCAATACTCGTGGTCTTAAAATATCTGAGGAGAATTTGCTACCTTTCTATAACTTTAAGAAATGGATAGATATTCTAGTGTTCTCGGATAGAGACGAATAAACCGTAGGCCCCGTCTCCTGCAGGGTTAGGGGTAGGAGACGTTAGTTTCCCACCCACGAGATTACTGTGGTGGATGTCCTCCCCTGGGGTGGGATGGGAGGGAAGGTGAGATCGTTACATGGACTGAAGCGGCTACCAGAGGCGCCTGATAATGCTGACGTCCGATCTCAACCTTATCATTGTAACTAGACACCTTTGTTGTCTAGAGTGCTTAAGACTTTCTCTTTCTCTCTGCTTTCAACTAATTGGGTAACAACGTCAGCAATCTTTTTTCTTTGCTCAAAACAAGTGTTGTCATTCTTGTTCTTAAATTGTCTCAACTTACGACAATAAAGGAGGGGAGAGGTTAGGTTTAAATGGTTTTCAAATAAACTCACCGGTTTGATTCTCTCCTGTGACTCAGTTGTTATGAGGTTTATATCAGTGGACTGCGCTCTTAAACTTGTGGTAAAACCTCGTATGTGACCTGCCAGCCACTCCTAACAATACACACGAGCAAAACGCTTAGCCGGGTGAGCGCTTTGTTCCATATTGGTGTCACATTCATTTACCACTAAGGACGATAGATTAATTCTTTAACTTTCAACTCAGTCAAGCGTATTAGGGCCTTTAACACCCTCATCCCGGAAGATTATTCATACGCTATGAACATTTAATGAGCGTCGGAAAGGGGGGAGGGGGTGGGAGGACATGCAATGGACTGCACCCCCACCCCAGAGGATTATTCATACCCTATGGTCGCTCCATGATATAAAAACTGGGATAAGTTCATGTAGAAGTGAGACACTAGCCCAAAAATACAGGAGGATAAGGGTGAATTATATAGGTCCGCAAAGGAAGGTATGGTACATCTTGAGGTTGCTAAAGTGCTACTTCAGTTTTTCTTTTTAACAGGGAAACAAGTGACGCTCTTGTACCATGCTCTCTTGAAGGTTTGCCAGTGTTCTGTGATCACGTGCTTCAAACAGCACTTCAGAATCGTTCAGAAGATGGTTGGCCAGATTGTCAGTCAGTATGTCTGTTTCCTGCAAAAAAATGCCGCAAATAATCATTTATAATAATTTCATAAAATAATAATAGAAAAGTATTATTGTGAGGCAAGGTAGTCGTGAGATAAATCCAAGCTTTTGATTGGTTCTTACTGAGTCGGGATTTTGCCAGTCGCCCTTTGTGACTATTACCTTAAAGTTTTGCTACCACTGGCCTTATGATTAGTTTGAGTTTGGCTTTGAAACTCTTAATCAAAAAGCGCTCTCGTTACCTTTTGATTTCTTTTCCTTACAGCTTCAATATCCTGTTCTCCATCTTCCTGTGACAAAAGAATCGTTCCAAATCAACCTCACGATTCCAAAAGTTACCACTCTGTTAGCAGCAGTTCTTAAACTCGAATCTTCACTAAGATGTCTTTCAAATGAGCAATTGAAGAAGACAAGGCAAAGCTCAAGGACCTATTTTTGTTTGTTTGTTAGCTTGTTTTATTTTTTGGTGTTTCTGGATATCGTAAACTCATGGAAAACACCACATATCTTCTAAAAGAAGCAGAAAAATAGTTAGTTCAGTCAAATCCGATCCAACCAAAGTATTTCTCAAACACTTAACAGGGCTAAACTTAGCTCTAACCTTTCTTTGTCGATGTGAGTGGTGTTGTTGAGGGCCAGGCCAGTTTGGCAAGGATCTGCAAGACAAAGCGACAGTTCAAAACAAAGCTAAAACAGCCTTGGACTAAATTTCTTCTACACCGTATCTCA